TGTCATTAAACAGTTACAGTCCTTGAAACCACATAAAGCAAGTGGCCCAGATGAGATACCCCCGTGGTTTCTTAAAGAATATGCAACGGAAATTGGCCCTATGTTGGCAGCAATTTTTCAAACCTCCATCGATAGTGGATGTACACCATCTAAATGGAAACATGCTAATGTGTGTGGTGTGCATAAGAATGGTCCCAAATCAGATCCCGCAAATTACAGACCTATTTCACTAACCTGCATATCATCAAAGGTCCTCGAACATATTATTCATAGTCATGTGATGAAACACCTAGAACAACACGCGATTCTCACAGATGTACAACATGGATTCAGAGCAAGACGATCCACAGTAACGCAATTAATCCTGGCGATTCATGATATGGCCAAGGCGATCCAAGACAATAAGTCGATTCATGCCGCAGTATTAGACTTTAGCAAGGCCTTCGATAAAGTTCCTCACAAACGTCTTATTATTAAGTTACAGTATTATGGAATCCATGGATCCCTGCTTCGTTGGTTTGAGTCATTCTTAACTAACCGTTCTCAAACAGTGGTGTGTGAAGGCAAGCATTCCCACCCTACCCAGGTAAAATCTGGAGTGCCGCAGGGAACTGTGTTGGGACCACTTTTATTTTTATTATACTTAAACGATCTGCCGGACAATCTGAAGTCCCAAATCAGACTTTTCGCCGATGATGCGTTACTATATGGCGTAATGTCAAGTGAGGAAGATGGTGACCAACTCCAGGAAGATTTACAACAACTCGAAGAGTGGCAAAATAAGTGGCAAATGTCATTTAATCCTTCTAAGTGTAAAACGATCTGTATTTCTACCAAGAAAACACCACCCCAGAGGGTATATTCCTTCTGTGGGGTCAAACTGGAACAAGTTGAATCGATGTCATACTTGGGAGTCACTTTTAATGATGATTTGAAGTGGTCCAATCATGTCTCTACTATCTCTAGTAAAGCAAGCAGAGTCTTAGGAATGATGAAAAGAAATCTTTGGAACTGCCCTAAAAAAGTGAAAGAAATTGCATACACGGCAATTATGGCGTTGGCGTTGGCGTTGGCGTTGGTGTCTGTGTTACGTGTTGTGACAGTTGCCTTTTATACTATCACAATAGGCATGAAGCACTACATCGACATGCAGCACAACATTTAAACAGTGACTCCGGAACCATATTAGATCTTTCAATCACAAAAAATACTCAAATGATACAGAACTTTCGAAATATATTTGGAAATTAAAAGGGTGAAAACAAACAAGATTCCGACATAACTTTGTCAATACTAAAACGCGTTGTTTCTTACACGGGAGGATAAAAAAGATGTAATTGGTGTTTAGAGGAGAACCTATGTTTTTTGAAGGAAAAAATAAACAATTTTCACAGTTAACAAAAATAGGAAATAGTTTCGACCTGAAAAATTGAAAATTTGTCAGCCACCATGAAACAAGCTGTTATATATGGCAACCTTTTGAGGTAAAAAAACCTATATATAAATATATATATATATTCTACTAGGCTATATTCCAAATTCATAGTAAGAAATTTGACTATCCCTAAAAGTATACTAATACACAAATCACATACATTAACTTGATCTGAACAAAAGCTATCTAACGAATACAACGGAACATGATCTTCGTCTGTATACGACGAATCCAAAACATCGTCCAAATGAAAATTCGAGGAATTCCAACTCCAACTTCTCAGCAGACCTGTCCCAGAGTGATTTGCAGTTATAACGCCCTAAACAATTTGCGAACCATTTAAATTGATAATTGATTGAGTTTGTCAAGTTAGTTTAGCAACTAGTAAGTTAAATATAAAATTCTTTTTTCATCGAAAACAACTAATTAACCTTTATATATATCAAGCGACAGAGCAGAGACTGAATGGAATAACTTATATATATATATATATATATATATATATATATATATATATATATATATATATATATATATATATATATATATATATATATATAATGTAGCATTTGTAAATTCTGAACGCTGATTGGCTAAGAGCCGTGTTAATATAACTCACGTCAACATGGAAAATTTATTTCTTTATATATTTCTTTGTGCTGTGCAATTTCTTTCTTTATATTTCTTGTGCTCTTTGTTATTCGTGGAAATTGGGAAAACTCGAAATTGGAATTGTGTGAAAACACTCCGCCCTCTCGTACGTTTTCCCAAAATATCAACACGGAAAATGTTATATAATTATTTGTTAAATAGAAAATAAGCACCTTGAACCCACATCTTTTTCGTGAATTCTTGAACTTAGAACATAAGGTAGCAAAAAGCAAAATATAATTCTTAAAAAACATGATGTCTTTTCAATCTTTGATAAATATTTAAGCATATAAGCATTCCAGAATTCATATGACATAATGAAAGATTTTTGCAGTAAAAGATAGTGTGCAAATTTTCTACATGGGTCATAGCAAATTTTGTATAATATTATACCTCAACTTTAAATTGTTCGATTGAAAAAAGCATTGCAGTATAGCACGTGATGATGTGTTTTTTTGCGGTGTATTCCAGCGTCATGATGCAGCAATCATAATATCCACGGCAGATCTGTCGTGGGATATTATTATATCTTACGCGCTATGCATGGAAACCACGAGATTGGCAATAAAAAAATATGGCGTGCTCGAAGTTTTGTTCCTATGTTTTGTTCATAAAGATTTATTGCTTTAACTCTAAAGAGTTTCACATGAATATTAGGGATATGTTACCTTCAATGATCCCATAGAGGCGGGTTCAAATATTCTAAAGGGGAAACGTCAAAAACTCAGGTATAAATAAAAAAATAAACATTGTATTCGCTTAGTTACTCAGCAGGTTTATTCTCAATTTAATTAGTGCATTCTTTAACTTTCGGTATAATATATTACTAATATAGACCATCCGATAGGGGGATTCCGGCGAAAAATATTACCCTCATCGGGAAATATCATAAACGTCGAGTAATATTTCGCCGAATCTCCTTTGCTTAATGGTCTATATAAACGATAAACATAACGAGAACACATTTATCTTTTAATTTAAATTTCCGGTCCTAATTACATTTGGTGGATTTGTTTGCCCGAGTTTGGGCATAAAGTACGTTTATTTCGTGATTTTGTGAGAATTTATATAAATATCAAGATAGTTTAAAAACAGGTTAGCCAACCTCCACCACAAAACGTGCGAACTTACAAGATTCTGCAAATTGAATTGTATCATTATATGTTTCACCATTTGGACGAGTCAAATCATTGGTGTCATCATCGTCCATGAATCCGCAAAGACCCTCAGTAGTTTTTGAGAACGCTGCCATTGGTATAAAATGCACATTGAGATATTGCCTCGACATCACTGGACTGTATTCCGTTTCTACTGACACCGTTGCACCTAAGCAATATAAAAACAAATGTAAGCCACTATATAAATTATAACAATGAGCCACAATATAAGAGAATTGTATTTTGTTATTTCCCTGAAAATTGAGAAAGGTTTCGTCATAAAATGAGTGAAGTATATATGAACCCAACTCAGCCAATTCTAATAAAAATACCCGAAAAGAGAGCTAGTGACCTAGCGGCCAGTCTTATAATAATTGGCACTGCGGAGGAGACATGTAAACCAACAAACATACATATCGTCTTTTCTTCTGATTTTTTCCTCTTCTTTTCTCATTGATACTTTGTGTTGAAAGTAATTTTGGTGAACAACAAGAAAACGCTGCATGGTGCTCATTTGGAATCAAATTTGGAATTATTTGGATCTATAGAGCAATAGAGACAATCCTCAGTCTATATATCTACACCATGCAGTTATACTTTGGGGGGTAGAATAAACATTCAAAACAGCACGGGAATTGGCGATCAAGAGTACATTGCACTGGAAAAAAAAGTGAAATCTATACTACGAAATTTGCAATTGCACCACTAAATCCATAGTAGGCTATATCCATACTATTTCCATACTATATCCATACTATGGAAATATACAATTATTATGGATAACCAAAATCCACTGATTCTATTTCCAATAAAGTTCCATACATGCAATTTCCATTCTATGACCTTCTATGGATTTTCAAAATTTTTTCCAGTGTTGTCAAAATGACTTTGTATAAATTTTTTACTCCATGCAAATATGACGTTAACGTTACTAACTTCTTATTAACCTTAAGGTTACAGAACACCTTTGAGTGTTAATTTTGCCTAAAATTTTTTTATTGGTTTCCATGAAAGCATTAGACTAGTCCTACTATCTGACAAAGTTTGAGCGAAAAATGTTGAAAACTCGCAGAGTTATTTAATAAAATACATTTTGCTGCAATAAGAAAAACATTGGAAATGTAATATTCAAATTCAATTTTCTCCCGAAACATTTTACGGCAATTACTCATTTTCAAACGAGTTATTCTCCTGCGGGTTTTAACGAATTTTTCTCAAATTTTCACAGGACATAGCTAAAGACGTCAGTTGCAAAATTGTGTTCGGCTTTGTTCTAATTTTGGATATTTTAATAATAAGGAGCAATTCACACAAACGATTCAGAAATATATTGCAGTCGTCAAAGAAATCGCCATATCAGCGGAATGATATGGTGACCTGTACCACATATTTTGGAAAGGGGTCTTAAAAATGCTTGAATTTGGTTTCACGTAAAATACCTTTATTTTGTACGGCCAACAAATATTTTTCAAAATCGAGCCGACTAATCGTTGTGTGAACGTAGCTTAAGACGAAGAATCGAACATAGTTCGTCTAGACGCATAATGCGTCTTGTGCCCGTCTTTATACTGAAGACGCATAACCATGCAGACGAACAATAAATGCTTGCCCAAGTTCGTCCAGACGCATAGTACGTGTCTAGTATAAAAACGGCCAATTATAATCAACATGCATAATCATATTTTTACAAACAGGATTTACTGGTGCATATTAGATGGCGCAGATACAAACAGACAGTTTGTTAAGATTCACTTTGCAGACGTTGATCCTGCTGAAAAATTATTTACTACGAACAATATTTAGACAGACGATCCTATGATATTCATTATGGACCCGAAGGTAATGTAGGACTGTGTAAGGGTTTGTATGGTCATCCCTATGGGTCATCCAGATGTTCTTTAATGCATGTACAGTATTGATCAGTATACAACTGGTACTTCTTATAGACTCTTCAAGATTTGCTGATTTGGGCATAATCAACGCAACTTAAAATCTCGTATTTAAACAACAATTAACACTTATTTAGTGGAAGCGAGGGAAACAGTATGTTTTGTGGACTCAAGACCGTCGATGTTTCCCGAGGCGAAGCCGAGGGAAACATCGAGGGTCCACAAAACATACTGCTTTCACGAGGTCCAATACTGCTTTACCGAGGTATATATCAATAGTCAAAGAAACAACAGATTAAAGAACAAGTGAACGTAAATACATGAAATATTTTATTGTTAAAACGTTAAATTAAACACTGCAGTTTCTTAAAGCGAAAGTTAAATTATTATAAAGTTATCAAACGTTTAGAAAGCATCCAATTTATGTCAAAACGTACACAACACTCAAAAAAATTAACAGTCAAAATATAGACAACTACTTGCTATTAAAATTAAAGGAAATACGAAAATAAAAATGCCCAAAAAAATCGCGCGCTTTTAAGGTCGTCCAAAGGTCGCATCTTCACGTGATGGCGCACATGATTTCTTTCGTTATTCCCCGGTCGATAACGTATTATCTCGCGCTGTTGCGAGGGAGACAGCCTAATTTCGTCACTCTCATGTGATATGCTCTCGACCAATAAAACATTAGAAAAAGGGGACTTTGACTATTGGTATATACACACTATGCATAATGCCTTTCAAGCCGCATCAAAACGAGGTCGGTAGGTCAAATGGCGGTAGGACAAGCTCGTTTCGAAGCGAACCTTGTTTTGCTTTTTGTTGTGTTGTCTTCGAAACAAGTACAAAAACCAATTTAAAAGTCAAAATTGACCTGCCCGCTTCGTTTTGGTGAGACTCGTTTCCAGGTTCCGAACGCGAACGAGGCATTATGCATAGCGTGTATATAATAGTACGATTCAATTAATGTACAGTACTTACACTTTACTATAATACTTAGGTTATTTATTGAGCACACTGTGTAACGGTTTTCATCTATCATATATTTAAGAATAAATGAAGAGGAATTTCAAGTTTTACTTGCATTTAAGTTTTATTTATATCCGGAGCTTGTGTATATAATAAAACAGTTATTCTACTCACTCTCGTCGTATATGACTGATATAGCCAACTTGGGGCTACGCACCTTGTCGGCTATCAGTGCATATACGACTCGAGTTCGCAGAATAACTGTTAAATATACGCCATTCTAAACATTTTAATTACGTTTTTGTTAATGCAATGATTGTAAAAACGGTGATGTTGTGAATGTTTTTTTTCCAGCATAATTTAAAGAAAGTGAGGAACAACATTCAAAAGAGTAACCTTTCTGAGAAACCAAGATGCCTAAGAATATGTGGGAAAAATATTATGTGGCAGCAATTCAAAGATGCTTGCAAGTGGGACCAGTCTAGCTGCAGTTTATCAATACATGAAAATTTAACCGAGAACCATTTTGAATTAGATTCCGCCGCCAAGATGAGGAACCACCTTGCCGAAGATGTCCTTAATAACAAGATGCTGTTTTTGATCCAGGTTATTGTGATTCTGACGGTTAAATAACGTGGACTATAAATATTTGTGAATTGAAAATGTAAAGCAATCTATAATGTATTTTTACTTTGTACTTTTGCAGAAATATAAAGAAGACCTGATGGCCAGAGGTAAAAAAAATGTATCGGATGAAATGGAATCTGTAATTCTTCTACTGAAGCACACAAGCAATTTGGTGCAATTATTTAACGATCGCTTATTCATATATTCAAATGATGATGACCGGATCAAGAAATTGAAGGCCTTTTATAATTTCTTGATGAGTTGGCGTGACGAAACTAAAGAGAGTAATAACTTATTTATTTCGTCTAAACTATTTTTTGATTTACAATCAATGTGTTTAGGCTTTCAAGCTATGATAGACTTTAAGACCTCCAAATTCAAAGGATCGGTTGTTAAACCGTGTATTATAAACCAGGACTGCGTAGAAAACCATTTCTGCCATGTTAGAGCGTGTAATAGGCAGAACAATAACCCGACATATTTACAACAAGCTGCAACACAATCTTCTATTAGATATGGACAAACTACTGTTAGTAGAAAAAGCAATGCAGCTAAACTAAGAGTAAACAAAAACAAAGCTTGCTCATTACCCCGCTAGGGTATAAATATATGGTGTAAATATATACGTACATACAGGCGTTGTTCATAAAGATGGCGGCTAACAATGGAAACGTTGCAAATCGTATCAAATCATAACACAAACTTAAGACTGCCTAACAAAACAAACATTTTGATGAGACATTATTAGACATGCATGGGGCCTCGTTTTCATGGTGAAGCGTATTACACGCTCGTAGATATCTATAGCAATTTGGGATGATATGCTCTTCTTTACTCTTGAATATTCAGTTGTATCCCAGAGGCCACTAATATGTTCTGCATAAACTTCTGATCCAAGAAGTTGATGAAACTTGCCAGTAACAAGTGTGAATCTCTGCCCGGACATATCCACGACTTCAGTATTTTCCTCAATGTAGCTTTTAATAAGCAGAAAAGAGTGGTACCATATGATATTTGCAAATATATGGACATTCTCCTTATGATATGTAAGAAGCAGTTCAATAGAGCTGTTCTTTTCTTTGGCAAAATCGCTTGTCGGACATTTCACTTTCAAAGAAGCAAGTATTTCATTAACATCTATCAAATCAACTACAGGTTTTGCCAAATCTGATTCGTGCTTCACCAGCTGGTCGTGAACTAAGCTTAGATGTATGGGAGTATCGAATCCAGGCCTCTCAAAATAATCTTCCACCATGCTATCCATCGTTGCAGCATCAACGATTGGTACATCCGGGTTATCATATTCTAGGTAATCGTCTGGTTCATCATTTCGATCCATTACTTCGATAAGTCTGCTATCATCGATTACTTTCTTCCTGCAGCAGGTTGAATCTTCCACTGGACATCCAAAGTTCGTGCAGCATTCGCTGATGGTTCTGTCCGAGGGTTGCAACAACCAATTGCGATTGAACCATGAAAGCTGTAAATGATCCGCTGATCGAACCCTTGACATTGCCACATATGTTAATCCAGGCACAAATTCTCTGGAACAATGAACTACAGCTGCAGACAATGTCAGTGCTTGGGATTTGTGACAAGTGATGCCATACGCCAAAATGACTGGAAACTGAGATTTAGTGCCAATAGTTTGTCCCTGCTTATTGTGGTTAAACTACGTCTCGCGTTTTAAGAAAACGGCCCCTAGCTTGCTTTGGAAAATACACTTCGATCGTGTCATTTCTGACAACTCTAAGAAAAACGCCCAATACACCATTTATTAAGTTGTGTGATAAATTCTACACTAGCATGACTTTGGCGTTTTCCTTTAGAAATAGGACGTCGTCGCAGGGACACTTCATGTTATTGGTTTTACCTGCACATATGACATCGAAACGACAAATATCTCCAGGAAGCTTATCAAGCTCTGCTCTATTGTAAAGCATAGTATATGGTACTTATAAAGTCTATTGTAAAGCATAGTATATGGTACTTATAAAGTGAAGTAAAAATGTGTGAAGTGCGTTATGATCGTCCTCGTAACTCAAAGGTCTAGCCAAACTTATAAGAAAAGAATCGGTTTCATCCGAACAAACTCCTAGTCTAACTTGATTTAAAGCAGACAAAAATTCGCGCTCGCTTTTGTTCTGTCGCATAAGTCTGGACTCGGTGACTAATTGCGAAGGTGAACAGTGAAGCCAGAAACATAAAGTTCCCTTTATCAAAATAACTAGGTACAGGGTTAAATTGAAAATATTCTCCAACGATAATCATCTGCTTTCCACCAAACGGATAGCATTTGTTTTCGGGTTCTGCCAACTCAATATGAATGTTATTGACAAGTTCGAGCATTCTAGAGCTTGACATACTTACCCCGTCCCAAACTATTATATCTATAGTCTCTCTGTCTCTCTCTCTGTCTCTCTCTCTGTCTCTCTCTCTGTCTCTCTCTCTGTCTCTCTCTCTGTCTCTCTCTCTGTCTCTCTCTCTGTCTCTCTCTCTGTCTCTCTCTCTGTCTCTCTCTCTGTCTCTCTCTCTCTCTCTCTCTCTCTCTCTCTCTCTCTCTCTCTCTCTCTCTCTCTCTCTCAACCGTAGAACGAATTAACGGTTATGGCAACACCAGGTTTATATACTTCGCACGCTTTTCCTGTTGAACAAACAACCGCGACTTTTCTGTTCCTCTCTTTTGCATCTGCCAAAATACTTTCCACAACTGTGGATTTCCCAACTTCGGCCTGTCCCGTTACCAAAACATTATGGCCCTGCAAGACAAACGTGACTACATCCGCCTGTTCTTTGTTCAATGACAAAAAACTCCTGTTGAAAGGTTAAATTATTATTAAGCTTCAGGAACCTTTTTCATGTTTCACTGTAGGTCGTATTTTTAGTTTTGGGCGTGAGATTTCAAGAAAACGTTTTAGCTTTATTGTATAGCTTATGCAATGAATTACTACTTTAGGCCTACGGCTATGGGGTTCGTTTCAAACGAACAAAAATGTGTTTAGCCAAAGTTTTGAAATGTGGGTATGTGGACATCTATATAAAATGCATCTGTAAACGATATACGAAAACCAGATCACAAAAATCTGCGTCTATGTATAGGATAGACAATGATCACGTGTGTTCAGTGGGATATAGACTCCAGAGAATTAGTTAGACGGCCACAAGGGCCGAAGGCCCGAGTGGCAGTCTAACTAATTCGAGGGAGTCTATAATCCCACTGAGCACAAGTGATCATTGTCTATCCGACTTAGAACATGATCACCCCCACGAGGAATGTCTGTTTCAATTAGGTGTATTGTTAACAAATAATTAGTATTGTTCCTTTTTAATTATGATGAAGTAGGTTTTTTCGATCGGGCATTAGTTTATTTTGCCGAAGGGATTTTAACTACAATGTTTGGTCTTTGTTTGGTTTTCAGCGTTTGATTGATTCGGTTTTAGGGTTCATTAATATGTCAGTAATTGGCATAGGCGTTTTTCGAAAGCATGGACGGGGCTGTCGCAGCGAAGCAACTTGTAGCGATTAATGCGACACAAGATTTCTTGCAAGTGATTTCCTGCTTTCTGGACTATTGGTTAACAAGATTTGTTTTTGGAAGCTAGGAGAGGTGGCAAGCCATAACTGTCATACCCAGCGAACAGTTTATGTAACATTGTTACTGCGGGTTATTCAGACATTTCAAAGACGATCATCGTCATTGAACATCCTGGCAAAGAATGATCCCAATTTTTCATCATTTAGAGCTTTGGATTCAAAGATAAAAGAAATGACAAATGCTGCCATTAGCACGACGAAAAATGTGACAGACAGATCCTTTAACGTTAGCCGAGACGAAGACTAACTGTTTTCGTCGTCAGGCACTATACTGGTTACTGAACGATACTCATTTGTTATATCTCGGACTGGCGTGTGTGTGCATGCATGGGAGTGTTGAGTGTGTGTGTGTGTATTTGTGTGTGTTTGTATTTGTGTAAGGATTGTGTGAAGGTACAGCTGTATTTTTGAGCTTTATATTAAATAAAACTTTTTGCAGTAAACAATTTGTCTTTGACGCCTTCAAATGTAACTCATTAGTATGCTCTATGTGGTCACTGGTACGCTCTATATAGAGCATACTAATGAAGCTACAAAATAAAAGAAAACAATAGACTATTAGTATGCTCTATATAGAAGAGTGCTTCAAAGCCCACACCACTTGACGAATTAATATACTATGGGATATAGACCACTGAAATACTGTGTTCTGATTGGCCGAGTGGGTGTGATCATGTTCTAATAATCATTAACGCACGTATACGATTAGTTTATATTTAGAATATGGACATTACATATTCAGTTGTTTACATGTAGCCGAGATATCAAGAAGTCTATTAAATAAGAGAATATTATAATGGCGACGAAGATAAACGTATTCTATTAAACGAAACGATGGTGGAAGAGCAGGCAGAGCCTCCACCACTGCAGCAACCGGCTGTACAGATCATGCAATCTGTAACAATAACTCCAATGCCAGAATTTTGCCCAGATGCAAAAATCGGAACAAGCCTTTCGACAAGATGGAACAATTGGCAGTCAGACTTTGATATGTATATAACCGCAAGTGGAATCACGGATTCAAAGCGAAAACGTGCACTCTTGCTACTGTATATCAAGCTGGATCGAGAGTTTGCGAGATTTTTAAACAAATCCCCGAGACAGGAACTGATACGGACTACAACATCGCGAAACAGAAATTAAAGGCTTACTTCGACCCTCAAAAGAATCGGCGGTACGAAGTTTATCGTTTTCGACAAACAACTCAAGAACACAATGAGACATTAGATCAATTTCACACCAGACTTAGAACAATGTCAGAAACCTGTGAATTCGCAGACGTTGAATTTGAAATCGAAGAACAAATCATTATAGGCGGAAATTCATCGAAAATACGAAAGCGGGCACTGCGTGATCCTACATTTGACTTAAAATCAATGCTTTTAGAAGGACGTCGTGACGAACAGAGCAAGTACCAAGCTCAACAAATCGAATCTAAAGAACAAACTGACGGTGAGGCTAATAAATTAGAACAAAAACCTAGTAACGGTAGTATTTCGAACAGTAGTAATGTTATTTGCAGAAATTGTGGGCGTGCTTATCCACACACAGGGGCATGTCCAGCAAAAGGGAAAACCTGTAATAATTGTGGAAAACCGAATCATTTCGCTGCTGTTTGTCGAGGAAAACAAAAACAAACGCGATCACCGAGATACTCAAACAAAAAGCATGCACAAAGAAATTTAAAAACATTAGATACAGGATCAAACTCGAGTTCCGATGAAGACTATTTATATACCATGACAAATACAAAGCACAATAACAAGGTCAATGTTACAGTAGGCGGTGCCAAATTTCAAACAACAATTGACAGTGGCGCGACAATAAATGTGATCGATCGTGACACTTTTAACAAAATGCAAGACATAAAATTAACTCGCACGAACACGAAAGCTTTTGCGTATAATACGAAATCACCAGTTGAATTTTTGGGAAAATTCGAAGCGGTAATCGAAACACGAAAACGAATATCTGTAGCCACATTCTATGTCGCTAAAGCTGCGAACTGTGGACAAACTGACATCAAAGGATACCGCACTAGAAAACATCCTTCAAAAGCATTCTAAAGTTTTTTCCGATCTTGGAAAATTGAAGGGAGAAAAAGTCAAACTAGATATAGACAAAACTAAAATTCCGAAAGCACAACCCCAAAGGCGCATACCCTATCACATTCGAGAAAAAGTGAAAAACGCGATAACTGAATTAGAAAATCAAGATGTCATTGAAAAAGTGCCCGAAAATGAAGCTACTCCTTGGGTTTCACCCATTGTAGCTGTTCCCAAAAAAGACGGACAGGTTCGCATATGTGTCGACATGCGGCTCGCAAATGAAGCTATAAGACGAGTATACGCCATCCTATACCAACAGTAAATGATGTTAGTTTTGCCCTGAATGGAGCAAAATTTTTCTCGAAACTTGATTTGAGCCAAGCGTATCATCAGTTAGAACTGGATGAACAGTCTCGTTATATAACAACCTTTAGCACTCATGTAGGTTTGTATCGCTACAAAAGACTAAACTATGGTACCAACGCTGCAGCGGAGATATTTCAGTACACACTCCAAACTGCACTGCAAGGGCTTAAAGGCGTCAAGAACATAGGTGATGATATCATTGTATTCGGCTAAACAAGAACTGAACATGATGATAACAATCTTTATGCAGGAGGCATTCTCACAGAAGTGATTTTCAGAATGGACCTGTACTATAGAACTAGTATTATACAAAGTGAAGAATATTATATCTAATCTATTTACATGTGGTCAAAAGTTAAAAATATCATAAATTATCTATCATTACAATAGTATACTTGCTGAACTGGTAAAAGTTTAAAAGTTTAAAAGTCGAGAAGAACAATAGTACACCATGGCCGACAGTCAAAAACTTTGGATTTAAATTGAGATATTGTCTGGGCATTT